TAATGAAATCTCTCACTCATCCATTGACTTCAGCTACATGTATTATGGTATTGTTTAAGTACCTGTGTATTGACCTCTGTCAGTCAAGTTTAGACCTGCATTTTTGTAGCTTCTTTACACTTAAATTTGGTAAATGAGTAACTGGGGACCTTGATTGATAGAACAATAGGACCATGGCAAAGAGGCTCATTCCTCAGCATCCTGCAGGGTTTGACATGCAAGCATGTAACATTTTTGTCCCATCTTTTGTCTTCACAGTGAGAGAAAAACGCAAGAGTCTCTTCATTAACCATGTAAGTGAAACTGCTTCCCCATGTTTTTCCTAACCAGTTGTACAGTAGACACTGATAGGTGAAGGCGCCCTATGTGTTGTGTGGTACTTAGAAGATTGTGATGGGGTGATGAACAGCTGATTTGCCAGACATTGCTTGGGTTCACTCCCACTGCCTTGTCTCCATATTCCCTAAGGCTGCTGTGGAAGGAACTATGCCTGTGGATAGGACCACAGTGCCACCACAACATTACACAGGTTCAAACAAAGCAAATGCTTTTAATTTTGAACCTTTCATTTCTGCTCACACCAAATTCCTGGTTTGGGGCTTTTGTTTTTTTATTTGTGTAGTGTAGTTCCCTTCAAATAAATACATAATTGTTTTTTCAAGAGCAGCTGTCTGATTCTCTCTCTCTTCTACACAATTGCTGTTTGTGGTACAGGGCCACACATTTGTATGTGTGTGCTCAAAAACAGTTTCTATCTGGAGAAACTAAATTGGCCCTTTAATTTTAAAAGCATTTTCAAAATTTCCCTCTAGTGCCTTGGCCATTCTGAGCAGTGCATCTCCCCGTGGTGGCTGTACAGGATAGTAACCGGTACACCTACCTTCTCCAGTCTCTCCCCACCACTCCCTGGCAAAATCTGTAACAGACCAGGTATAACCACACCTCTTGTTTAAACATGTGCCTTGTTTTTTATGAAAGCAAACTGCTACTACAAGGTAAGTAGTGATAGAGTTATGCGAACCGCCAGAGTAAGTGTGCTCCACACTCTCACTGAAAACTGCAGTGATGAATCTGACTCAGCAGAGGCTGGCTCAGGACTGTTATTCAGTGTTTCAGAAGTTGTAGATTCTGACATGCTTAAGGATAAAGCTGTGTATTTCAGACTCTTAAGGCCATCAGAAGACACATGCTGGACCCATAGGGTGATTCTGCTGCAGCAGTGGCATCTAATGTGTACATAGCACTTCCTAGTTCCTTTCAGGGTTATTTTTTATTTAGTTATTTTTTAAAAAGTTGCTTTGGGTTTTATGTGAGCCATCTCATCAGCCCTCTGTCAGATTTCTAAAGCACTTCCCTGACCCTCTAGATTGGTTTTCTTGTTGTTTGTTTTATTTTTCTTTTAACAGACACAATAGTTTGTTTACAGTTGAAGTCTATAAGATAGTTATAAGACAGCCAGTTTTATGCATCAGAAATGTTATTGATGGTAAGAATTACATCACAGACAACAACATGAAACTGGCATAAAACAAAGCTGAGGTAGAAAGACAAGTAATTTTTCTTTTAATTCATTAAGGTTAGATTAAATTTTGTTAAAGAACTGTTGCACGAGAACTGCAAGATCTTTGTGTTAAAGATTGAGTTTCAAAATTTTTGTATCCCTTGTAGGGAAAACTAAATCTAATTCCCCCACACTCTTAACACACTGTAGTTTCACTCTTGGAACTTCACATCAGCCTCCTTGTCAACAAACCTCAACATACCCAAAGGAAATCTAAAAGAGGAGAGAATAAAATGAGAGGTCCTCAGGGATAGAGAGAACCTAAACAATAGAATACACTTAAGTCTTACCAGGTAGCACTTCCTTGGCTCTTTAGGTTTCTAGCATAGAGTTGTAAAACATTTGTGGGATCAGAGTGTATAGCATGAGAAGCAGTGATGAAAATGGCCATGATATTGGTGTTAGGAAGTGGTGTATTCCTGAATATAGAAGAGTGAGTGATTGAAGCTAATCCCTCTTCCAGTTATTTACCTGTGCATATACTTGACTGCTTTCCCCATGTTAACACTTATGTGCTAAAGAGCACATAAGGGAAAAGCTGAAATTTCAACTAGACCCCTAATGAGCCAGTTTGAGGGCCTGTGAAGAAAGAAGAGGTTTGATTGTCTAGGCTGCTCTTGATAATGGCTAATGGGATAGGTGTGTTATCAAAGCTCCAATCTCCATATTTGTTTTCATGTGCTCTCCGCTGTGATCTTACTTGTATCCTGTGCACTCCTGGCATGTGTCTCCTACTTAGTCATTAGCCGTGGGCCAGTATGTGGATATGGGTGGTAGATTGTACATCCCAACTCATGCTTTCCTATGTGATTTGCCAGGCTGTAGTACAGGGAAATCAAACAGATGTTGATCTCTCACTTGTACTTGCTCCTGAATAAAGATAGTTGTGTGCTGAGTTTCTTTGTAGGAAACAACCCTTAAACGTGTGATCTTCTACCCCATTCGTAGACTTGCCTACAAATGAGCACATGAGTCCTGCTTCCCCAGGGAAAAGCTGAGTGCTGTTAAGGTACATAGAGGCTATCTGCATAAAGTGAGACTCTCTGCAAACTGGATTATGTCTGTATACGAGTTGCGGTTGTCTTGGGGTTTCTGTTCCTGTAAGGACACACCGTGACCACAGGAACTCTTATAAAGGAAAACACTTAATTGGGACTGGCTTACAGTTCAGAGGGTTAGTCCATTATCATCATGGCAGGAAACATGGTGGCATGCAGGCAGACATGGTACTGGAGAGGTAGCTGAGACTTCTACATCTGGGTCCACAGACAGGAAGAAGAGACAGTGAGCCACTAGCCTAGCTTAAGCATCTGAAACCTCAAAGCCTGCCTACAGTGACAAGCTTCCTCCAACAAACCACCTTATGGGGGCCATTGTCTTTCAGACCACCACAGTGACTTTGTAGCTTGTAACATAAAAGTTAAAAAAAGAAGGGGAACTGGAGAAATGGCTCAGAGGTTGAGAGTACTTGCTGTTCTTTTCAGAGGGCCTGAGTTCAATTCCTAGTACCCATGTAAGAGGCTTACAACCTCTTGTAGCTCTAGGGGATTTGACACTCTTCTAGCCTCTTTGGGGACATACACATACATACACACATCCATGAAAAATAATAAGAGATCTTAAAAAAGAAAGATAAGCAGGAGGAGCAGGATGGGAAACACTATAACAATTGGAATCTTCTACCTTGTGGACTTACCAACTGACTTGGATAGTCTCCACCCCAGCTCAGCACTCATTTACACACTTCTGCTGATGAAAAACCTCTAGAGGCATAAAGAAAGAAGTAAGCAGAGCCAAGGTTGGAACTTATCTGTGTATGTGACAGTTATGCTTTTACAGGACTGTCGATAGGATTCAGTTTGAAATATGGATCCTAAGTAAAAATTTCAATGTGTTCTTGAATTTTAGAACAACTGGTATCTTTTGTCCCTTTTTATATAACTTTATTGTTGCTTGATTTCTCCTTTGAGTTTCTGAAGAACCTGTGTGGTATATATTGCTCAGGCAATCTACAAGGAAGATGCTCCAGAAACATGAAAGCAGTGCAGTAGATGAGCAGTGAAGAAAAATGGGCACAGTTCCCTCTGATCCTAGCTAACTAATAGCAACTGGCGGTGCATTGGTTGCTGTTCTCATTGCTGTGATCAAATACTTGACACAAACAGCTTAAAGGGAGAAAGGATGATCTTGTTTGACAGTGTAAGCATTCGGTGGGAAAGGCATGACAGCAAGAGCTTGAGGGAGCTGATTACATTGTATGTGCAGTGAGGAAGCAGAAAGAGTTGGGAGTTAGTGCCAGCTAACTTTTTTTTCTTTCTGTAGGCTGGGCTCTTGCCCATGCACTAGTGCCACCCACGGTGAAAATTTATCTTCACACTTCATTGAAAACCTCACAGACATGCCCAGTGGCTTGTCTCCTAGAAGACTGTAGGTCCTATCTAGTTGACAGTCTCTGTTTTCCATAGCAGGGAACGTGAACTCTTCCAGGTGGAGCAACAGGCTGGAGAAGGACCAAGAAGGGACTAAGGGATAAAATGTCACTACTTCTGAAGATTTACTACGTGGGAATAGAATAGTCTGAGAGTCCCAACAGCAAGGAAACCACATGACTTATAACGATTAATATCCTAATCAGCACTTTTGTTCTAGATGTAATTAGAATGATCAGTTAGAGAAAAATGTGATGTTATGAAAAAATTTATAGCCATGTGTAAAGGTCTTTATTTAAAATGTCTTTTTTATAAATTTGCTGAAGTTTTGGTTTTGGTTTTCTTGAAAGTCAACTATTTCAGTACTTTTTTTTAAACTAGAATGATTAAAAATTATAATGTTGTAGATAATTGCAGTTGGTAGTCTTCGCAAAATACAAGAAAACTCATACCATTTGTGTACGCCTCATTTTTCTGACATCCTTCTGCCTCCTAGCAACAGCATATGTAATGTGAATTAATTATTCTAAGCATTTAATGCTGTTTGGAGGAGGTGGAAAGATGTCATTCCAAGACAGGTCAGGGGTAGAATGGCCATCCTTCCTCCTTTCTCATGTCCTTTTCATTGCACATGTTTGGTTTGGGTTTTGGTTTTTTGGTTTTTCGAGACAGTGTTTCTCTGTCTAGCTTTGGAGCCTGTCCTAGAACTTGCTCTGTAGATTAGGCTGGCCTCCAACTCACAGAGATCCGACTGCCTCTGCCTCCTGAGTGCTGTGATTAAAGGTGTGCACTGTAAATGTGTTTTAAAACCAAGAAGCTGAACAGGAGATTAATCTATAGTGTCATTCTCTTGTAAAAACTTCAGATGATGGGCCTCAACATTAAGATAGATGATTGTTCTGAAAACTTCTAATAATGTAAGTTGAAATCATGTGTCAATTAATCAAGACTCTTCTTACTATTTGGACCCAGAGCCAAAAGAACACTGAAGCACTAGTTCTGGCAGCCTTGAAAAGTGTTTTGAAGTGTTTGTCTTCTCAAATGAGTCATGATGGCTGTCTTGTTTGACTCTGTGGAAGGCAGTGAAAGGAAGGTGATCTGCAACCTGATTACAGCAAGTGTCTGCAGGCTAGTATGGCTCACAGGAGGCTAGGTAAATGTGTAGTTTTCCAGGTTCTATTTTAATAACTGATGATGTTTTTCTACTATTTGGGTATAATTTTGGGTATTTTGTTATGTAATTATTAAGACCCAGTTTCCTAAGTGGTCATATCCTATGTTCATCTCGTTTTAAGAACACTGT